TTCCCTCGCTCTGTCTCCCCCTTTACTTCTTACTTTCTCACTTACTCACACACTCACTTTTACTCACATATTCTCACTCTTAGTCATATTCTCGTGATCTTACATTATCTCACACTGACTCTCTCACACTCGCATTATCTTTCTTACTCTCTCACTGGCACCCTCACCCTCCCTTTCCCTCTCACTCTCACTTTCATTCTCACCCACACCCATGCGCAGGCGCACGTACGCACGCACGCACGCACACACATAAACACGCCCTCTTTCTCTCTTTTTCTCATGTGCAAAGGTCAGACAGCAAGCCTACCGGCCGAGAGTGGGCGTCGTGGGCGCGTGTGAGCTCGAAAGGCCATTTGAATGGAGAAGTGCGCGCGGGCGGGCAAGGGATCAGATGGCATTAGTCCTACGTGTACGGCGACGTCCGCTGAGATCCCGTAGGAGATGCTGTATCGAGGTAACGCTTGGGATCTAAGTGATCGGCGGTGCGCAATCTCCTTCCTTCTGTCTCCTTGTTTCGAGTGTTTTATTTGTCCTTTTTTTCTTCTCTCTCTGATCCTTTCTCTTCCTTCTATCCTATTTTCCAAAAAATCTTCATCCCTCTTTCATCTCTCCATGACTCATTCACTCACTCACTCACTCACTCTCACTCTTAACTCATTCACACTCTCCCACACTCACTCACTCACACCTAAACACTGTCTGTCTGCCCGACACTCACATTTAAACTCACACGCACATAAATAAACACGAGTGACTCATGCTAAGCGAGGCAGCACCTCCTCCTCCTACTCCTTCTCCCTTTTCCTTTTCCTCTCTCTCTCACCTTCTTCCTCTCTCTCTTCTTCCTCTCCTCTCTCCCTCAACTCCACTCCCCTCCATCTCCCCATCTGCGCTTATAAACCCCCACCCCATCTCCCCCATTCTCCACCCCGTCCGTCTCCACCTTCCCCTCCAACCCTCCTCTCCCCCTACCCTCCTTCCTCCTCGGCGTGTCAAGGGTTACGAGGTCAAGCCCGAGGCCCTGCGGGGGATGAGGAGGACAATGTAAACGTGGTCAAGCGCCTGTCCCTGATCCCTCGGGGTGACCTTCCTGGGCGGCGGCCCTGATGGAAGGTGATCAAGGGGTTTGTCTGAGAAAGGGGGGAGGGGAGGGGGAGGGAGGAAGGGGAGGGGGACGGAGGAGAGGGGGAGAGGAAGGGGAAGGGGACGGGAGGAGAGGGGGGAGGGAAGGGAAGGAGAGGGGGAGGGCCTGACGGAGAGGAGGAGAGGAGAGGAGAATGAGGAAAGGATGGGGAGATATTAAGAGGAAACTGGGGGGCAAAGGGGAAAGCTCACACAAGAAAACGGAAAAAAGAAGAGGATAGGAGAGAAGAAAAGGGAAGGGAATACGAGATAAGAGAAGAATAGAGAATAGAAGGTAAGGGAAGAGAAAAAAATGAGAAAAATAAGAAAAGAGAAGAGAGAAGAGAAGAGGGGAAGGAATGAAACAGGACGTAAACAAACTGTTAACTGTCGGGAAAGATTACGAAATTAAAACATCGGCCACTCCAAAAGCACCAGGAAGGAAGGAAAACGAAGGTAATAACGAAGAAGAAAAGAAAAAAAGGAGAAAGAACAACGATCAACAGAAGTGACGATGACCTTTCCAACCGAAGGGGTCACACTCGGGAGCTTGGAACGAGAACACGGGAACAGAACGGAAGAACACACCCTAACGTAAACAAAAAGACGAAAAAATAGAACAAATAACAATCCAATAATCCCTGGGAAAAAATAACAAAATATACATTCTTTCCTACAAAACGCAACAACAATGGACGTTTTATCATCGGCAAAAACTCTTTATCGTGTTTATGGTCAACGAAAACGGTATCCGGGCCGCTATAAGACGGGGTCTAATCCAGTGCAACATACCGTAACACCAGGAGCAAAACTAGGCCACCGTGCCAACAAAAAATATATAAAAAAGCATTATATATCCGTTTTCGAAAGAAAAATATTCGTCTTTCCGTAACTCCGCTTAAGAAAATCTATATTAACACTCTTATAATCGTTTACGTCTTCACAGATATTTGGATACCCTTTGTCAAGTATTATGTATTCTGATTCTTTATCAGTAAACAAAAGCACGGGGGAAATTCGCTATCCACCAACCCTATCGCTGTCCTAATATTGTTTGCATACCAACAATTTGCCGGCATTGGAAACGAGGACGAAAATCGTTAAAAATAAACTTGATATGTCGACAGGATCCGCCCACGTGGGACTGAGACACGCAGACACTGTCCGGCCGCTGTGTTTCCCCGTTTGTCCCAAGTTAAAGGCGAATGGCGGAAGAAGACTGGACATGGCAGGCCTAATAACTGTACTCTACATGGCATAATTCCAGACACCTCGTTTCTTTGTGAATTAATAGCATATATGGTATACATGTCTGCGAGTATGTATCGCCGCGTGAAACAGATAACAGACGTTTATGCAAACGTCTGGCGGCGGCGTGTCAGCACCTACCTGAGGAGGACCTGGAGCGTTTGTTGGCCCGCGCGGTCCTGAGCGACTCCCCGATGAGCAGCACCAAGGGGCGCCGCGAGGCAGAGCCCTTCACAGCCGAAGCGAACTTCCCCAGCTTCGTGGAGGCGTTGTTGTTGTTGATGATCTTACTGTTGTTATTGTTTTTGTTGTTGGTTCCGTGGCGCGGGTTGTCGTGGGGGAGGTGGACGCCGGGGACAGAGTGCGTCGGGTGCTGGGGGAGCTCCTCCTCCACGTCGCAGTATTCTTCAATGATGCATATATCCTCGTCTCGGTTTCTACCCCACGCCTCCCGCTCCTGCAGCGCGCCGTCGGGCTCGGGCCTCGGGGCGCGGCTTACCTGCTTCTCGCGCGCCACCCCGCCGCTCCTCTGAGAGGGGGGAGAACCGGGCGACATGTCCTCCCGCGCCTCGTGCACCAGCTCCGGTTCATCGATGAGGTTACGCTGCGCCGGTTCCACCGTCCGCATGCAGTTCCCAACGGCAGAGAAGAGCATGCCGATCATCCCTGCCGTCCGGCCGCAGCCGAACCACCTGCCGAGCAGCAGGTCCCGCCCGGTGAGCACCTCGACCCTTCCTGAATCCGCCGTCGCCGCTGCCGCAGTCGGGGAGACGGGGATCGAGCAGGAATCGGAGGAAGGCTTCGGGTGCCCGAGAGTGACGGAAGGCTTCAGAGATATGGAAGTCGGGCGCGCGGGCTTAGGCGCTGGCACGGCGGGGTCGGTGGAGGCCGAGCGACTGGACGGAGGATTAGAGGATGCTGAACCACAGGAGAAGTGAGGGGGCTCGAGGGCCTGCGAGGCGGACGACGAGGTGCACGTGTGGTAGGAGGAGGTGTAATTCTCGCTTCTGTAAGGGTTGCTGGAGGTGTTGTTGGAGGCTGAGGTGGAGGTGGATAAGGACGTGTCGGGGGAGAGAGTGGAGGCACGGCAGGAAGTGGAGGTGGAGGTGCCTTGGGAGTGGGCGTAGCTGGGTGGGGACTGGCAGTCAGCAGCCGGGGGCGGCTGCTTGATGGCCCACGACCAGGGAGACCAGGCCGAGTCCCGGCCGTGGACGTCCCCTGGAGAGGGAAGGCCCAGGTTGGAAGGCGACGGGGACCTGGAGGCCGGCGGGGGAGGGAAGGGGAGGCTTGGGGAGGGAGACCTGGAGAGAGACACCTGCAGGAAGTGGCGGAACCCGTCGGGAGTGGCGGACCGACTCGGGTCCGGGCTGGGCGTCAGGCACTCCAGGTCGTGCGGGAACTCCAGCTGGAAGATGGGCGACGGGCACGAGGTGTACGGGTGGACGATGGGGCTGGGGGGCAGCGTGGTCACCGACACGTCATCGTGGCCCTTCGCCTTCTCCAGCGGCGCGGCCACGGGCGAGGGCGAGGGCTTGTCCGGGGCCGACGGCGGGTAGTGGAAGAAGGACTGCGGATCGGTGGGCGAGGGCAAGTTGCGAGCGGCGGGCACGGGCATTACTGGTGGCTGCGGGGGGTCGGTGCCGCCGTGGACATTCGCGCCCCTTCCTACACACTCGCTCTCCGCGCAGGTCGCCGACACCGTCGTGGGTGCGTTACGACGACGACTCCTCGAAACGGCGTCACCGCAACAGTGACGCTAACAACGAGCTGCTGGGAAGTCTGCGAATGCACCGAAACACACACTGACACGCACGCCCCTCGCTCCAAGGACGGCAGGTATATAGGCCACACTCGCGCTGCTCAACAACTGCGGCGTATTTATCAGTTCGCTGTCCCCGTCTCTCTCGCGCGCTCTCGGCTCGCCAACTGTCCGTCGTCGATCTGGCACCGCTCGCTCAGCCAGTCGTTTCACTTGTTCGGATTGCTCTGCATCTACTCTCGCGCTGAAGCAAACACACTCGAAGGGTCAGAGCAACTGCAAGGAGGATGGTGAGGACGTTGAGCTACACGGTATAAATAAGGCAATATCAATGCAAGGCGCCAAGATGATCTCAAGAGTGCATCGGGACCCGCCCTGAGGTCACGGGCGCCCCCGGAGAGCCACGGCGCTTTCGTCACACCGCCGAATGACGCAATCGCCGACGACGCCTCCAGCGCCAGGCGAGGCTCATGATACACTCGTCGTGATGAGAGCGGCGTACAGGGAGATGAGTTGCAGTCGATACAACATGCCCTACATTTCACTCCCTCCCCCTATTCCGCGGTCAAAACGAAGGCACGTGAAGAATGATAAACGCTCCCTTCTCCCCACCCATCTCACTATCTCTTTCTCTCTCTCTCTCTCTCTCTCTCTCTCTCTCTCTCTCTCTCTCTCTCTCTCTCTCTCTCTCTCTCTCTCTCTCTCTCTCTCTCTCTCTCTCTCTCTCTCTCTCCTTTGCTCACATCCACACACTCCTCTATTTCCAGACTCACTCTCGCTATCACTACACCTTTTTTGCCTCTCCCCTCACCCCAACCCGTAAACATATTCACACTTCAACACTTGCCCTCACACTCCCTCCTCCACCCACCCACACCCCCTACCCCACCCCGCGCAATTCCGCAACACTTGTGCACTTTCGCCCATCGCCTACCCCTCCCCTCACTCCAACCTACTACCGACTCGGGGAAGGGGAGGGGAGTGGAGCGGGGGTAAACAGGAAGGATCAGCTGACCCCACAAGCAAATCAGCTGATTCGTGCAACTCACCCGCCTCTCAACGTGACATCCCTGCTCTTCCTTCCTCCCCTTCCCTCCCCCCCTCTTTCCATCCCTTACCTCTCTCCCACCCTCCATCCCTTTCTTCCTTCCTACCTCCCTCTCCCCTATTTCCCTTCCTTCTCCACTCCCTCATTTCTTCCCTTCCATACCATGCGCGTTATGCGCTTATTTAGCGCCCTACGCATTATCATTGTGATTGAGATACTATACCCTGCCCTTCTCTCACTTTGCTCTTCCTTCTCCTCTTCCCTTCCCTACCTTTACCTCCTTTCACTTCTCTCTCTCCTTTTCTCCCTTCTCTTCTCCGTTTCTCTCTCTCTTCCTCTTTCTAAGCAGGTGTTTCTATCGCGCCAGTATCTGTTCACTGACCTTTTGTTTCCCAGTGATAAGCTCTGCTTGACCTCTTCGCCAAGAGCGAGTGGGTGTTGTGAGCCTGTAATTTTCCATCACTTCAACCGTTTTCTTTTTATCTTTTGTGTATTACTTTTTCTATTCTGTCCTGCTCCGCTATCCACGCCGATATATCTACCATTCTACACCTCTATTCAGAGACTTTGTTGTTCTACTGAACTATCTGTAGAGCCTATGTGATTTTACCCCTCATGCTATAGATCAGAACATACTTGCACGCGCCAACTCATACGTAAACGCGTGCGCCCACACGTACACAACACACGTGTCATCATATATGCGGCAATATATATATATATATATATATATATATATTATATATATATATATATATATATATATATATATATATGTCGACAGATTGCCGCTCTAATAATGTACATACACACATATACATACAAATCCTCATACACACACACACATGCGACACACGACCCCCCCCCTACCTCACCTTACCCCCCAATCATCAAAAGCAAACACCAATCAATTGATAACCGATTCACGAACGCAATGAATGAATGAATGAATACATGAATAAATACATAGCCAAATAAAAGTCCCATGGATGCACCGCCGATGACTCAACCCTCGCCCATGTCCGGCGGGCGGCGAGGGTGGGTGCGAGCGCTGGCCAGACGGCGTGGGCGGCTGGGGAGTGGGCGGCTGGGGAGTGGGCATCCCTGCGTACCAACGCTAAAGCCCAATAGGTTTGTGGTGGGCAGTGGAGTAGATGTGGTGGTGATTGATGATGATGATGATGATGATGATGATGATGATGATGATGATGATGATGATGATAATGATGATGGTGATATGACGATGATGATGATGGTGGTGATATGATAATGATGGTGACGATTGACGATGGGGATGATGATAAGATGATGGTGATATGATAATGATGGTGATAGTGACGGTGATCATGATGATGATGAAAAAATATAAAGATAAAGATAAGAATAAAAATGACAATAACGAAAAAAACATAATAATGATCATTATGATATGATAACAAAAATAAACAAACAAATAAACAACAACAATAACAAATAATAATAACAAAAATAAACAAAACAACAAAAATGACAACACCAATGAATAACAATAAAAAAACACAAGTTAGCAACAGTAGCGCAACGAACACAGGCCAAGATGGACGGCGAGTCGAGCAATATATCCAGGTCTTCATTGCTCACAACCACTCGTTCTTCTGTTCCGATTTGCACCACTCCCCTCTTTCTTTCTTCCATCTTATTCTCTCTCTCTCTCTCTCTCTCTTCCCTCCGCGCTGTTTCACTGATCACTCTCCATCCTCAAACGATTTTTCTTTTTCATTCACTAGTTTTCTATCTCCGTTTGTTTTCATTTTCTTAAGGAGGATGGAGAGATAGGGAGAGGGGGTAGGGGGAGAGATGAGGGAGGGGAGAGGGCGTCACAAAAAACAAACAAACATGTAGTCCTCATTTTTTTCTAATCTTTCTCTCCTGTTCCTTTGTTTCTTTACCTTTATTTCTTCTTTTCTTTATACAAACAAACACAAAAGCATAATATCTTCATCCACGAACCCACGCGATAAAAAATAAAAACAATCATCATCAACCGAAACGACGATGAACGAAAAACGGGGGATAAACTAAAAGATACACAAAGAAAACGCACGCACGCACGCAAGCACAATAACAAAAAACGCAAAAAAACACACACGTTTCGAACGCACGCAACCCCAACCCCTTCCCCCCCAGGAAAAATCCCCCGCACGCAAACACACACACACGAACGCACGCACAAGAAAACAAAAACGAATCGGGCAGAGCAGCAGTACCAGCAACAGCACACAATGAGACACCGGGCATACGAGTGCTGTACCTGGACTGTGGGGGTGAGAGTGAGTGCGAGCGTGTCAGGGTTGTGGCAGGCAGGCGGGGCTGGCAAGAACGGGGGGCGGAGGAGCAGGAGGATGTCAGGGGGAAGGGGGAGGAGGGAGCGGGGCGGAGGAGCAGGAGGATGTCAGGGGGAAGGACGGGGGTGGAGGGGGGAGGAACGGGAGGGAATGGCGAGGGAGAGGGAGATAGTGGGGGTGGGAGGTAAAGGGTAGGGGGAGTTTATTGGGAGGGATGGGAAGGAGAGGGAGGTGGGGTGGAGACGGGGAGGTGAAAGGGGGGAGGGAGGGTGGGAGGAAGGGACTGAACTGGGAGGATGGGGAGAAGGGGAGGGAGTGAGGGAAAAGGGGTAAGGGAGGAGGGGAAGACGGGGAGGAGATAGGGGTGAGGGAGGGAGGGAGGGGTTGATGGGGAGGTGGGGAGGGAGGAGAGTGGGGTTGGGAGGGAGGGGAGTTGGTGGAGATGGGGAGGGAGGAAGAGTGGGGTTGGGAGGGAGGGGAGTTGATGGGGGAATGGGGGGGGGGAAGAGTGGGGTTGGGGGGGGGTTGAAGAACACCTACAACTGACCACAAACATTTAACTCGTCGTGGCCGTCAGCAGCTTCCTGTCGAGAGAGACTACTTGGTCTCTTTTTTTTCTCTCTCTTATCCATTTATCTATTCAACCACTTCTCTATCTATCTATTTATCTATCCCTCTCGTTTTTCTCCTCCTCCTCTCTTTATCACATTATCTCCCAATCCTTCCCACGCTCGCACCTCCACTTTCTCCTTTACTCCTCTCTCGATCTTCCTTCTCCCCTCTTTCTACATATTTCTGCTATTCATCCACCTCCCCCCCTCCCTCCTCCCTCCTCCCTCCCTCTCCCTCTCCCTCTCCCTCTCCCTCTCTCTCTCTCCCTCTCTCTCTCTCTCTCTCTCTCTCTCTCTCTCTTTTTTTTTGCTTCCTTATCTCTCACCCTTCCTCTCTATCTCCCTCCTTCCCTCTTCTTCCCCACCCCTCTTCGCCTTCTCCTATTATTTCTTCTTCTCCTTCCCTCTCCCTCTCCTTTCTCCTTACTCTCACTTCCTTAATCTCCCTTCGCACTCTCCACCTCCGACACTCTTCCTCTCACTCCCTCTCTTTTTCTCTCCCTCACTTCCATCCCGCAACCGCACTCTCACTCCCACTCACTCTCTCACACGCTCGCACACTCACTCATGCGTTCGGTGTCACTCTCATCTGTTCGTCCTCGCTCTCGCTCCTTCGCTCTACCTCTTGGTCTCGCTCACTCTCACTCTCACGCTCGAACTCTTGTCCTCACTCTCACCGTCGCCCCCGCTCTCACTCTCGCGCTTTTCCTTTCTCATTCCGCTTCATTTCCCTTTACTTTTTCATTTAGCTATTCTTTTTGTGTCTCTGTTTCTGCGCGCGCGCGCGCGCGCGCGTGTGTGTGTGTGTGTGTGTGTGTGTGTGTGTGTGTGTGTGTGTGTGTGTGTGTGTGTGTGTGTGTGTGTGTGTGTGTGTGTGTTTGTGTGTGTTTGTTTGTGTGTGTGTGTGTGTGTGTGTGTATGTGTGTGTATGTGTGTGTGTGTATATGTGTGTGTGTGTGTGTGGTGTGTGTGTGTGTGTGTGTGTGTGTGTGTGTTGTGTGTGTGTGTGTGTGTGTGTGTGTGTGTGTGTGTGTGTGTGTGTGTGTGTGCGTGAGCGTGTGCACGTACGCGTGCGTGTGCCCGAGTGTGTGTCTTTCTCTCAGTCTCTTGTCTCTCCTCTCCCCTCTCTCTCTCTCACACTGACCCTTAATCGCAACCTACTTCCTCACCCACACTTATTTCCATAATCCCCTATCCACAGCGCATCTCCCTTCCTGGCTTCGTTACCCTACTTCTCCCATACTTCTGCCCTTCCAAACAACTATCCAACTCTCCCTAATTCCCCTGACACGCAGGCACGAGACGGACCCATCAGCTAATTACTCCGAGCAATCCACTTATTAGTCCGTCAACAAAATAGAAAAAAAACAGTTTACACATGACAGCAAACTTTGCCCGAAAAAAAAATGTATATATAAAGAATTAAGCATACTTCATAATACAAAATACAAAAGTAAAGTATACTTCATAATACAACATACAAAAATAAAGTATACTTCATAATACAAATTACAAAAAATAACAATAATGATAATAAGAAATAATAAAAAACATTTAATTAAAAAGAAATAATCCGATGAAAACACAAAACAAAAAACACGGAAAACCACAACAACAACAATACCAACAACAACAAACACACACATAAATCAATAAAAATAGATAAACCCATACTTCAAAAATACAAAAATCTAAAAAAAAAAAAAAAAAAAAACTAACTCAAGACAGACCCGAATCCTCCAAAGTCTGTAACCTTAATCCGGGCATTTACACAGGACGGCGACACTAGGAGGGCTGCCCAGGTCCAAATAAACCCGGCGGACGACACCCCGAGACGTACCAGGCCCAGCGCAAGGAAAATACACGAAATGAAAATAAACAAAATGAA